GTACAGGACCAGTCAGTGTTCCATTCTGTTGTGCTTAGGGTTGCTATGAGTCAGCACCGACTCAAAGGCACCTAACAACCAACCAATCCTGTCCTATTCCGAAATGAGATTATAACCACAGGTACAGAGGTTAGGATTTATAACACATATTGGGGTGGAGGTGGGGGACAATTCAATCCATAACACCAACCAAGGAGAATACATGAAAGGAGGAATTACAGAAAAGGCTAAAACATGAAGGGTAGAATGACAAATCACTCGTTCAAAAATATTTGTTAAGCATAGATCATACACTGGAGCCTAGTCTCTAGAAATACAAAGATTTCTAAGACTGGATTCTAGCCCTTGAGGAGCTAATTTTCTAGCACTGACATTCTCCAATTTTAATAGGCATATGAATTCACCAAGGATCTTTTTTAAATGCAGAGGGTTATTCAACAGATCTGGCATTGGACCTGATATCCCAACAAGCTCCTACACGACGCTGGTGCTGCTTGTCCACAGGCCATCCTTTGTATGCCAACAATCTAGAATAAATTGTTACAAGTACTTATAAATCTGTACAGGGTACTGTGTGCACCAAGAAGGGAATGGGCCCTTCTACCTTTTCAGGCTTCATGTCCGAGGAGACAATAAATGGAGTCTTGTTCCCCTGGTAACTGCAAGGGGAAAGTTAAGTGCAGTGACTGAGAGTGTACATCGAACCTCACACCACCAGCCAGTGAACTAGAACTTTCTGATTTCACTTTCTCATCTGTAAAATGAGGAAATGAAAATGTCCAGACCCTTCACAGTCCTTAAACTAATGAGATATAATTTAAAATCACTTAATATAAGATCTATTTAGAAGTTAGGATAAATTAGTATTAAAGGTTCTAGTAATGAGCTTAACTATTGCTTGGCAAGTTAACCCTTAAACAACACTGGTTTGAATTATGTAGCCCCATTTATATGCACATTGGTTTCCCTCCTGTTATTATTGCTTAAAATGCTGTGTGACATTAATCATTTCTACCTGAAAAGTTCAGCTCATGGATACAACACTGAGCTCACATCAGTCAGTAGTAACAGGAAAAAAAAAAAAAAAAAAATTCCGTGTTTCAGTGGAACTGCACAACTCAAACCTCTGTTGTTCAAGGGTCAACTAAGGCCTTTTACATTTGTGGTTTTTTTTTCCTATTTAGCTCTTTGTAGCATGGTGTATGAGCTACAACTAGAAAGCTGAATAAAAGAACACCATACTCGCTTGCTCAGCATAATAATTCTTAACATTTATGAAGTACCTTCCATTTTCAAGGCACTTTACAAACATCAGTTAATCATCTATCATACATTTGCAAGTTAATTTTCATTAGTTCAATTATAACCAGATCAGATTAAACAGAAATGGTAAAGACAGACCCCAGAAGGATTATAAAATCCAAGGTGAAAATGTTGGGTTCTCACTATTCACTTATTAGAATTAATAATAATAAGAATTAGCCCTCACCAGGAAAGCACTAAAACGCTAGAAAAGGGGGAGAGAGCAATTTCTGAACCTGGTGCTGAAACTTGCTACTAGGAATGTGTTTTGAAGGAATAATTATACTCTTAACTATAAACCCTTCTCTTCCTATAGAGAAAAACAAATTTTAAGATTGGAACATAAAGAATGATTTAAAGTAGAATGGTAACTTTTGTTATTGTTCTGTGCATTTGTTTTCTTTTTCAAATGCTCCAAAGGAATATTATTTAAAAAGCAATTTGCAGTTTCAATACTTCTGATTTATGAGCTAGCAGAGGGAGGAGGAGTCTTGGTGTGGTGCTGTAGGATAAGCACTGGACTGATAACTACAAGATTGGTGGTTCAGCTTGTGAGGGTTGGAAATGTAAAGGTAGACAACCTTTGTCTGGTTGATGATGCATGGATGGGATTGTAACCATGTCAATTAGATGATATAGGATAGAATGAATGTAAAACTAACGTTCTCCCATGTAAGCTATCACATAATTTACAATAAAACATTAAAAAAAAAGATTGGTGGTTCAAACCCACCAACTGCTCCTTGGAAACCCTATATAGGGTCATTCATTATGAGTCAACCGACTGGACTGCACTTAACAACAAGAAGAAGGTAAAATTGGATATACAGGGCTGATAAATTTGGCAATAATTTGAAGATAAGGTCCATTAGTATAAACCAAAAAGTATATCACACAGAATTCATTCTTTTCTTAAATAAGAAAGAGAAAGATGCCTAGGTTTAATAAGGATTCAGTCATATTTCCAGCATGCTTTCAATGTACACATTTGCATGTTCGCTCACACATGGCATATAGCTCGTTTTTCATTAACCTTGGACACTGATTACCATCGTATTTTACTTTAAACATTGAAAAATTTGTGTCATGTTGGTACATGTCTGAGTAAGTAACTGTGCTCTAGGGAAATAAATGTTAAGTCATTTTCATTTTAATAACATTTATTAAAAATCACATTTTATAAACACTAGATAAATTACATACAAAAGCTAGACATAAATACACAGAAGCAAAAACAGACACATTAACATAAGGGAAATAAGCTAATATAAAGTTTATGTATAACTTAATAAAATTACTAATTTTTCATGAAATCAAAAAGCTAATCAGAAACAAAATATAACATATTCAGATTACTACCAAATTTTAGAACAACTTCCATAGTATTTATTATTTATTTAAAAAATCCTGTTAAACATTCAGAAGTCAAATTACTAGTCTTAATACACAAAGTAAACTCATGTAAAAGTTCTTGTCTACCTGAAGTATATAAAATTTTAGGCTTTGGTTAACAGACATTAAATCTAATGGGGAAAAAAATTAGTTAATATCTCCTTTATTGTTATATTTCCTGAGTTTTTGATAAGATTTTATAGTTAAACGAAGAACTCAATTTTCAGCTTTGAATAATTAGTATTTTTTGCAAATAAAAACAGTATTGTGATCACTGCTAAAGTAAATGATGATGTTTCCTAATGTAATCATAATCAGAGGACTACATTGTAATGGGGTCACCATGAGTTGGAATCATCTCAATGTCAACTAACAACAACAGCTTGTTGTTGTTAAGTGCTGTAGAATCGGTTCTGACCCATAGCGACCCTGAACAGGGTTTCCGAGGCTGTAAATCTTTAAGGGAGCAGAAAGCCTCATCTTTCTCCCTCGGAGCAGCTGGTAGTTTCGAACTGCTGACCTTGCGGTTCACAGCCCGATTCATAACCACTACGCTACCAGAGCTCCTTAGCTATGGGAAAATCAATGTCCTCTGAGCACTATTTGTAAGTCTCATTTGTAATTTATGATTAAAATTATATTAAATCTTTCACCAATTTTTATTTGTACCTTATGAAACAATATGATCTAAAGGAGAAACTGATTTTGTATGATAGAATATACTCTTATAAAAGAACTGAAAAGGTAGCATGAGGCCAGGCATAGGGTATGTGCTCAATATTACTAATTTAAAGTTAAAAACTTTAATGTATTATTTCTGAAAATCAACACACAATTCAATGTAGGAGTTATAAATTAATCTGAAAATATTAAAAAATTTAATTTTAAAACATGAAAATACATTTTTAGTAACAAGCATAAGAAGGATTTTTACAAGTGGCTATTTTCAGTCCTTTTTTTATTTATCAAAATAGAATTATTAAATTCATGGTTTCTTTATAAAATAGGCCTATGAAAGCTGATTTCCTATTAGTTGCTATATGTAATATGGATGGCAGGTTCAATTCATTCTCATAGAATCTCTGTATCATTCTCTGGACTGATTACTTCAGGTTATTTTAGATTATAACATACTCATATAAACAGTGCATCTCATAAGATCTCTTATCCTCATTCTCTGGACTGATTACTTCAGGTTATTTTAGATTACAACATACTCCTGAAAACAGTGTGTCCCCTGGAGACTGATTTCATGCATCTGGAGATTGGATCCAAAAATAAATTTTTAATAAGTAGCTCTCCCTGTCCCCAGTAAATTGTTAAGATCAAGTAGGTCTGGGAAATGATGCTTCAAAGCAAGCAACATAATTTTAGCACACTTCAACATTATTTGATCTGTGTGTGGCATAGCTAATGAAAATCAAATGTATTTCGCTTTTTATTTATTTGCATAGCATTTCACCATGCCTAAATGTCTCAGGTTTTGTTCTAATTCTCCTGAAAGCTCACAAAAGCTGATAAAACAATAATCATCTTATTAAGGGCTTCTATAGTTTTATTAGTGTTGCATGTGTGTAGTTTCTTACCAGGGAGCAGAAGACTCATTCAGCAGTTGTATCAGAAAACTAAACAGTGTGATATTTATTCAACTAATCATACTACTCACAAAGTAGTCTTTAAACTGCTATACCGACATCAGTTAGTAGAGTTACTTGCAAAGCTGGTTATCAAATGCCTATCTCTTTAGAAATCAACGTACAAAGTATTATGTCACCTCCACGTATGAAATCTCATTTGCCGTATCATGCAACTTGGAAGCAATTTTCTCATTAAAAATAGGTATACATGAAAACAATGTGTATAGTTTTATTCTGTTTATCAACTAGCAACAAAGCCCTCTAAATTAAAGAAAGATAAACAAGTAATGGAATGTATTTTCAAACAATTAGCATGGAGTGCTAATGAAAGTTTAAATTATTAGAGATTTGAAAGAATATTAGGATTAAATCATGAAATCTTAGCCACTTCTATTTCCTAATAAGAGTTATCATATGCAGAGAAATAAAACGGAAAGCTTATTGGAGAAATGGGTTAAATATTTTTTAAGCTGATTAAAAGTACTTAATTTTAAAAGAACTATTATTTGAACCTCAAGTAAATAATGCAGTACTCAGCAATTTATTAAAAAATACACAAAAAATTTTTTCATAGTAAAAACCACTGCTAATACAAAAAAGATATTGTCAAATTCTACATACACAAACTGAAAAGGACATAATACCAAATCCTTGGTTTCAAATTAAACTTCACACTCCCATCTGTATATCAGCAAAGTTGTAGAAGCTGTCTACATCTGCAGCTGCTGTGTCCTTGCTTTCAGATACATACATCTATTTAAAATATAAAAATAAAAACAAAAAATAAATATTAGCAATCTCCAAATACCAAAGTCTATGTTTTCCATGGAGTCCTGGTGTGGTGCTGTAGGATACGTAAGCATTGGACAGCTAACAGCAAGGTCAGCGGTTTGAGCTCACCAGTTGCTTCATAGTTAAAAGATGAGGCTTTCTGATCCTGCAAAGATTTGCAGCCTTGGAAACCCTATACCGGGTAGCTATGAGTTGGAACTGACTTGAAGGTACTTAACAAAAACAAAGATATATTACTAATTCTCAACAAACAAACAAAACCCATTGCCAAGGCGATTCAGACTCCTAGTGACCTAACAGAACAAAGTGGAACTGCTTCATAGGGTTTCTGTAAATCTTTATGGAAGCAGATTACCTACCTCATCTTTCTTCTGTGGAGTGGCTGGTGGACTTGAACTGCTGACCTTTTAACTGCCACTGCTTAATCTACTGTGCCACCAGGGCTTATTATTACTAATTCTAAATGAACTCTTTTCTAAACATCAATTGCTACTGTTGCTAAGTGCCACTGAGCCAGTTCTGACTCATAGCAATCCTGTACAGGGTTTCTGAGGAGTGGCTGGTGGGTTTGAACCGTCATGTGCTTATCCTACAAGTGCCACACCAGGAGTCTGATGCACTCAAGGGAACCTTTCAAAAATAGCTTTTACAAATCTCAGGAATTAGATGAAACCTAGGTACTGTTCTAGTTCATCATAAACTAGCTCTATGATGATATTGACAATTTAATAAATCTCTTTAGGCTCACTTTTTACATCTGTAAAATGTGAAAGTTATATTGCATAATCTCTAAATCATTCAGCTCTCAAAACTCTGAATCATATAATCATTTTATATCTCAGTTTCCTCTTCTGTTCAATCTCCTTCTTCAATCTCTGTTTCTCTCTCCTTAAGTATTGTTGTGAAGATAAAATGAAACACAAGATTTGAGGACACCTATTATTTAAAGAAATCATGTTGTTGTGGTTAGGTGCCATCAAGTTGGTACTGACCCACAGCGACCTTATGCACAGCAGAACGAAACACTGCCAGATCCTGGGCCAACCTCACGATCATTGCCACACTTGAACCCACTGATGCTGCCACTTTGCCAATCCATCTCGTTGGGGGTCTTCCTCTTTTTCTCTGACCCTCCAACCTTAACAAATATGATATCCTTCTCCAGCGACTGGTCCCTCCTGACAATATGTCCAAAGTATGAGAGACGAAGTTTGGCCATCTTGGCCTCTAAGGAGCACTCTGGCTGCACTTCTTCCAAAACGGATCTATTGGTTCTTTTGGAAACCATGGCACTTTCAATATTCTCCTCCTACACCATAACTCAAAAGCATCAATTCTTCTATGGTCTTCCTTATTCACCGTCCGGCTTTCACATGCATATGAGGTTATTGAAAATACTATGGCTCGGATCAGGCGCACCTTGGTCCTCAAGCTGACATCTTTGCTCTTCAACACTTTAAAAAGGTCTTGTGCAGTAGATTTGCCTAATGCAATACGTTGTTTGATTTCTTGACTGCTGCTTCCTTGAGTGTTGATAGTTGATCCAAGAAGAATGAAGTCCTTGACAACTTCAATATTTTCTTTGCTGAAAAGAAATCATAGTTCCTTCTAATATCAATCCTAATAGGTTGAGAAACAAAACTTGCTGAGATAATCTTTTTTAAAGTTGTGGTGGATTTGTCTCGTGGAGTCAGCTTTTAAAACTACTAGTTAAAAATTTAATCATTTAAAGTCCTTTATTGTTGTTGTACCATCGAGTCTGTTCCCACTCATAGAGACCCTGTATAGGGTTTTCAAGGAGCATCTGGTGGGTTTGAACTCCTGACCTTGTGGTTCAAAGTTCAGTGCTGATAAATTCAAAGAATTGGTAAAAGCCAAATCACAGGTAAAAACAATCCCCTCAGATATTTGTCAGAGTAGTCAAATATTTTCTCATTTAAACCTCTTTGATATACCTCATGTTTAACTACATAATTTAAGTTGGAATTCTTAGAAACAGCAACTGCATCGACATATCTAGAAAATAAACCACATGTAATGATTTCTAGATATACCTCAAGTTCAATTTTTGTTAAAGCATTACTGAAGCAAATAAAAATGAATACTGAGTAATAGCATATTTTCTACAGCAGATGATCTTAGAAATGTAATTATTTTTTCAAGATATCACTATTCTAACAAGTACAAGGTCTTGAAAAGACATTTGTTCAGATTCTTAGTTTTAACTTTAAAACTTATATACTATTAAAACCTTTAAATAAGTAGATCCTTATTTGTAATTATTTTCAACAGTTAAAGTTTTAGCTTTACAATGAAAAACCAAAGCTTAGTTCCTAATTATTTACCACAGATTCTAAAAATCATGATCTGCTTTTTCTTTTTAAATCTAAACAACACTGTTGTTGTTGTTAAGTGCCATCGAGTCGGTTCCGACCCATAGCGACCCTGTACAGGGTTTCCGAGGCACTAGTAAAAGCAACATTTGATTATCAGGAAAAGGAAATGAAATGAAAAGGTTTGATTGAAGTATGAGTCAATAAAATCTTGTACCTTGGTCCCATTGAATATTTCGTTTACAATGAGATGACTTCCTTCTACAGCACCATCTCCATTAAACTCCAAGGCAATAACAGGACCTATAAGCAAACCCAAAAAGTATTTGGTTGTTGTTTTTAAACATGAATACAAAAATATTCTAAAATTAGTACTTTTATTTTCTAAAGACTCTCTAGCATCTTCTTGGGGGATAAAAGAAAGAAGGAGCTAGACAGATGGGATGCATCACCTCAGCTTGTTCTTTCTGAGCTAATCATAAAAAATGAAATGAACACAGAGTCCCATCACATGAAGAGTAGCTTAAATCATATTAAAGGCCTAAGGGCACTTATTAAAGTATTGTAAATAGTCTGGGTTTTCTGTTTTCATTCTTCTCTAAATTATTATTATTTAAAAATATCCCATCTGTTTGATGTTCAAAAAACAGCTAATAAAATCGCAAATAAGGTCAAAAGCAATTCAAGCCAACATGAATACATTTTGCCAGACAGTCAGCCTTGCTTCCAACTCTCCTACTTACCAGTCAAGTTCTAGGCTACAAATAATGGGACCAAGTAAAATAGGAATTGAGATCAGGTACTGCTGGCAACCGCAGCATACGTAACCAGCCAATAATAATAACTATATGAAAGTTTTTTTTTTTTTTTTTTTTGAGGGTGACTTAAACTACATTCTAGAACCAAAGACCAAGTTTTCATTTTTCAATTCTATGAATAGAATATCTGTGCCTCTGTTCCTAGACATTAATCTGAATATGTCTCCATCCCCTGTGCTTTAAATTCTGGTATAAAGACTTATGATTTAATTCAGTTTGGATTTAAATGTAGCATTGGCATCACTGATGTTAAAGTTAGCCAAACAAAATATGCCCTTTGATTAATGCCATCACTATATTCCTTATTATCTCTTGGAGTAATGAAATGACCAATTTCTAAACAAACAACAACAGCAAACAACCCATTTAGCAGGGAAGAAACAACATAGAATAATGAAATACCAATTAATGAAATAATAAGTTGAATGATTATGTAATGGTTGGATGTGGAATGTGCCAGAGGACACGGCACAAGAATGAGAGAAAAGATCACACTATATTGGCCACTGAAATAACTGACGGTTTATGATGTTGTTGTTAAGTGCTGTTGAGTCAGTTCCGACCCATAGCGATTTTGTATAGGGTTTCCAAGGAGTGACTGGTGAGCTTGAATAACCGACCTTTGCAGTCTGGCGCATTAATTCACAGTGCCACAACAACAAATACAGAAAACGTTAGATATGTAATATAAATAATAGTCAACTGTACAATTAGATACACAGAATGAATTAAAGTATGAGTTTTCAGCATCATAATGTATAGATCCTGAGAGATACACAACAAAGAAAAGAAAGTAACTAGGGAAATACTTCTTGCTCTTATTAAGGCGTTATGGAGGAGGCAGAGAATATTAAGTATTAAACAAAGCACGAAATGGATATGTTGCAAGAGAAATGAATTCTAGACATATGAAAAGGTTCTTATGTCAGAGTACCTACCTCAACCCATGGGCTTGTTTAGAAGATTTGACTCTGATATAAAAGATATTAAGGAAGAATTAAAAAGAAAAACCTAAGAAAAATGTTTACCTGTAGGAATTGGGAGAACAGAGTTTAAGGGGATGGGAATGAAATTTCTCTGGATGTACTTTGTATAATTAAAAAAAAAATCACTGACATGAATATCTAAGAAAACTTTTGGTGCTGTGGGTTAATGTGCTGTACTGCAAAATCGGTTAAACTGCACTGTCGGTGGTTCAAGCTCACCAGCTGCTCCTTGGAAACTCTATACAGGGTTGAAATGAGTTGGAGCCAACTCCATGGCACTTAACAACAAGAACAACATGCCATCTCAACAATCTTTACATGTATAATTCAGTGGCATTGGTATATTCTTTAAGTTGTGCAACCATTCCTGTTATTCTTTTCCGAATCATTCCATCACCATTAACATAAACTCAATGACTCTGAAACAAAAGCTCCCCCTTCCTTTGTCTCTCCAACTCCTAGTAATTGCTAATCATCTTTGGTTTCTATTTGTTGTTGTTAACTGCTATGGAGTCAATTCTGACTCATAGCTACCCTGTATAGGGTTTCTGAGGAGCAACTGGTGGGTTTCAACTGCTGACCTTGTGGTTCACAGTCCAGTGCTAATCCCACAGTGTCACTATCTATTTGCTTATTTTATATAAGGGAGATCATACAGTATTTGTCCTCTTAAGACTGATTTATTTCACTCAGCATCATATTTTCACGGTTCATTCATTTGGTGGCATACATCAGGGCTTTATTTCTTTTTCGGGTTAAATAATATTTCTTTGTGTGTATATAACACATTTTGTTTATCCAGTCACCTGTGTATGGACATTTCAGTTGTTTCTACCTCTTGGCAACTGTGAAAGCTACTGAAATGGGAGTCCTGGTGTGGTGCTGTATGATAATTATGTATGATATTAACTGTAAGATCGGAAGTTAAAACCCATCAGCCACACCTTGGAAACCCTATTCAGGGCAGCCATGCGTCAGAACGAACTTGAAGGCACTTAACAACAACAATTAAAATGAGCGCTGGTGTACAGGCTTGTGTTTCCATTCCTGCCTTCACTATTCCTGGGTATAGACCTAGGAAAGACCTAGGATTCTTGGTGTGGTGCTGTAGGATAAGCACTGGGCTGACTATTAACCTAAAAGCGGGTGCTTCAAACCCACCAGCAGCTCCTTGGAAACCCTATACAGGGTCACTATGAGTCAAAACTGACTAGATAGCACTTAACAACAACAACATACCTAGGATTGGAATTTGTGAGTTATAAGGGTAGTAGCTTTATGGTCAGCTTTTTGAGGGCCTGCCAAACGACTTTTCTATAGTGTCTGTACCATTTTACATTCCCAGAGCAATGGATGAAGGATCCAGTTTCTCTATTACCTCACCAACACTGGTTTTTTGATCATTGTCATTTAAATAGGGACGAGGTGGTAGCTCATTATAGTTTTGTTTTAAACAATTTATTTTAGTTTTACTGTTGAAAATATACATAGCAGAACATACACTAACTTAACAATTTCCACAACTACAAATCAGTAACAATGATTATATTCTTGAAGTTGTGCAACCATTCTGACCCTCCTTTTCCAAGTTGTCCTTCTTCATTAACACAAACTCACTGCCCTCTCACTTTCCTATCTTTTGAGTTGCTCTCAATTTGATTCTTACAGACAGAAACTCAAGGCAAACATTCTATACTAGGTAAGCTAAGATACTGTTTGGTCTTAAGAAAACTTCGGGGGTTCCATGGCTCCAGAAAGTCTAGCATCTATGAAAATTTGAAATTCTATTCTACATTTTTCTGTTTTTGATTCAGATTCTTCTAAATAATCTTTGAAATGAAAACTGTGCAGTAGTGGTAGCCAGACATCATCCAGTTCTGGTCTCATGGCAAAAGAGGAGGCAATTAGCCACACATTCCTGTCATCCTTTTCATTACTCTCTGTTGCTCCAGGTGAAGAGGGACTAATTGCTTTACCTTGTATGGCCATTTGCAAACTTTCACAATTTCAGGCATTATGCAACAAATGAAGAGGTAAAACAAAAGCAATAAATATGTCCCATGAAACTATGGCCCTAAACACCTCCAAACCAAGGAAGTAAATCCAGTGAGGTGTTTGGTTGGACATTAGCAGCCTCAGG